TATAAATAGAATAAATGAAGAAAAAGCCACGCAACTTGTAACTAGGTTTTCTACTTTTTAATGAACGTTTCGGCACTTCGGCCTTCTTCAGCAAACTGAGTGTTTTGCACGCGCCATTGCTACAAAATGCGACTAACGGAAAACAACAAAACGCGCGCGCTCTATATATATATAATATATATAAGAAGGGGAAAGTTTACCATAATGAGCTGAAACTTCACAGGGGTGTTGAGAAAAATAAGAAGAACACTATGTTGTAGTTTGAAATAATTTTATTCAGTTTTACCACTTTTATTGAACTTTTCGTTTTTCACTGTCAAGCCCAGTGCTTGGGCTACCTGTGGTGCGCCTAATTGAAAAATTTGGAAGTTGCAAGAGACCATGTCACACACGCGTTTTTCCGAAAAATGTTGAAAAAAGTAGAAGCCAGTTCTACTTTTCTCTCAACAAAAAAATGAAATGTTCAAGTTGCATGAGGGGGTGTCACACGTAAAAAAACGCTCGTGCAACTTCAACATTTTTTTGCGCGACACAAGTTGCACGAAAAAAACGCCAGTGTGACATGGACTTAACGTACCTTACGGCAAGATTTTTATTTTGTTTTTTTTTATTTCTTTTTTCCCCTTTTTTTCTTCTTCATTCCCCTTTTTTGGCTTGTTTGTTCTTGTAGTCACATTTAAAGCCATCATTTAACTCTTATTAGCTTTTGAAAATATTAATTTGTGGATGGCATTTAGCTCTTTAGAGTACAAACACTAAAACTGTGCAACATTACCACTAAATACTGCTAAATTATGCTAATTCTATTGTTTTCTATTGTTTGATTAACACTACTTTTGTAGTAAATAGTGGAAAGTGTTGCACACATTTAATGTTTGTACTCTACGTTATACACCCTTTTAATAAGTCCCGAGGTATTGAATTCTCCGCACTTGACGTCAAATTTAGTATTTTGAAATTTTTACAATACAAAAGGAATTAAAAAGAATAAATATGACGTCATGTGCGGAGAATACAATACCTCGGGACTTATTAGAAGGGTGTATAACTTAGTT